CCTACAGAGGGCTTCTTTATTTGATTTCAGTCTCTGCAAGCTCCATGCTTTCAAAGATAAATTTGTCCTTTACAAGCAGCACAAGTTGGTCATTAAATATTGTATTTGTCCTCAATGAAGATTGATATCAAAAGAACAAAAGAACTAATGCTTTTCAGATTAGTTCTTTTGTAAAACTGGCAATTATACATCTCTATATTAAACATATAAATGTGCAATATTTCCTGTTGATCAAACATTTGATAAAAGTTGCACGTTTTGTGTGTGTAGTGTTTCATGTGTTGGAAATGAACAGTTTTGGAAAATGTGTTAAGTCAGATAGCAGTGATGGGGAGAAACTATTCTAAAGAGGACCGAGATCTTATATCCAGTATTCTACTGTATGTATATTCTTTATTTCAAACTGTGCAACATGAACAGAATAAAATGAAAAATAGTTGATTCTGTGCTGTCTATGTATTCCCCAACCACCTTCTGCCCTCTGCTGTCCAATTATTGTAAAACAGAAAGATACCACACATAAGCAATAATAGATGACACAGTGCATGATGGGTATATAAAACAAATTGCTGTGAATGCTGTGCCTTTGATGGAATCATAAAACAAGATGTCTGCTGTTGTTGCACTATGACAGGCAGACTGTAGCCTATGCGCCAGCACAGTGAGCAATACAGTAAACTTAACTCTATTTCCATTTAGCCACAAGTAAATAGGCAGAAAAAAAGCTTTCCGACAAGAGACCTGTGACAAATATATTACATTGTATTATATTCAAGTGTAACACGTAAAGATGTAAATGATCTGAGTCTCCCAGCTCTCTTAATTTATTATTCAAGGCCTATAATATGATTTAAAACCACTTCACTCTGTATATTTCTTGATACATATATTTTACTCTGGAAGATGCTCCATCATGTGTCATAAAAACAATAAATAAAACATGGGCTATTCAATGGAGTCAAGTGACATTAAATGATACAATATGCTTATAAATTGGCTTAATAATAGTACTGATCTGCCATTTTGTTTTCACTTTATTTGAATCACACAAAAAAAATCTGAGGTGTTGGGTGGTGATTCAGAGGTCTGTAACCAGAATACTTAACAATGTATGGTCTGTCCAGGATGCAGGGGATCAACAACATGAGCTGATGGAGCCCGAAGTTCACTGAAAGCAGTAAAATTCACTGTAGTTCCCTTGAAACAAGTCAGTTTCTCCAGTTAAAAATCATGACATAAGACTTTTACTTGTCAACCTCCAACCTGCTGGAGGCATTTTTTTTTAAAATGTTGTGGCCTTTAAACCCAGTAACCCAGAGAAGACCTTGTGGTAGCGATGCACTGGCAGTTCAAAGTCAGGGCTGGTAATGCCGAGAGACAGGGCTCTAAAAACAGGATACTGAGAGGGAGCTCCCAGTGGTAATAATTTCAGTTAGTGACAGAGCTGTTAGTTTCCACACTTTCATGACAATTTGTTGAGATGTGTGAAGAAACACAGATGTGGACTGACTGTGTTCATTTGAAATAATGTAAAACTAGAATTACCACCCTGTGGTTGTGTGCCTCCGCGCACCAGTCACGTTCCTCCTACAGTTCACACCTGTCTGTGACAACATGGACACTTCACACCCATTTCCCCCCGACAGCACATAATCAGCACAGTTTCAAGGTGGTCACCGAGGATGAGTGTCACCAGTTCAGTATCTGACCAAATATTTCCCCTTCTGTCCCTGAGATATGACATGGCCAGAAAAGTGTTTTATGCAGAACGTTGTGATGTCACAGTGAAACTGACCTTTGACCTCCTGGATATAAAATGTCATCACTTCATTATTTTATCCTATTAGGCATTTGTGTGAAGTTTTGTCATAATTGGCATATAAGTTCTTGAGTTATGGCCAAAAACTTATTATATGAACTCACACTACCTTGAACCTTGACCTTTGACCAAAAAATAAAAAATAAAATCAGTCAATCCTTCAGTCTAAGTGGACGTTTGTGCCAAATTTGAAGAAATTCCCACAAGCTGTTCTTGAGAAATTGTGTTCAGGAGAATGAGATGGATGCAAGGTCACAGAGACCTTTAACTCTGACCCTTGACCAAGAAAATCCATTCAGTTCATCCTCGAGTCCAATTGGACTTTTGTGCCAAATTTGAAGAAATTCCCTTGAGATATTGTGTTCACAAGGATGGCACCGACGTAAGTACATACAGGTAACCCGAAAACATAATGCCTGCGGCCAAGGTCATCATTGGCATGAAGGCATAAAAATAACAGCAATTCAACAGACATTTTTATGTTATGTTCCCATGATGGTAACATAACATTAGCTAGCTTAATATGAACTGAATCTGAAGACACCACTCATACTCTTTGGAAAAAAAAAAAAAAAATCATATGTCCTACGCCTTCTGTAATTTAAAGGGTTTGGACATTCTGAATCAGGAAAAAATTGAGCTTGAAAAGGTGCTGTTTCCTCTTGGTCTGTGTCTGTGCAGTTCCTCCTGTTTTTGAAAAAATACATATATATACATACAGTCAGGTCCATAATTATTTGGACAATGATACAGTTGTCATCATTTTGGCTCTGTACACCACCACAATGGGTTTTAAATGAAACAATGAATACCTGCTTAAAGTGCAGACTCTCAGCTTTCATTTAAGGCTTTTTTCAAAAATGTAGTATGAACCGTGTAGGAATTACAACCATTTCTTCACACAGTCCCCCAACTTTAAGGGCTCATAAGTATTTGGACAAACTAACATAATCATCAATTAAACAGTCAGTTTTAATACTTGGTTGCAAATCCTTTACAGTCAATGACTGCCTGAAGTGTTGGACACATAGGCATCATCAGATGCTGGGTTTCTTCCCTGGTGATGCTCTGCCAGCCCTTTACTGCAGCCGTCTGCACTTCCTGCTTGTGTTTTGGGTGTTTTGCCCTCAGTTTTGGCTTCAGCAAGAGAAACGCATGCTCAGTTGGATTCAGGTCAGATGATATGACTTGGCCATTGCAGAACATTCCACTTCTTTGCCTTAAAAATGTCTTTGGTTGCTTTTGCAGTATGCTTCAGGTCAATGTCCATCTGCACTGTGAAGCATCGTCCAATGAGTTTTGAAGCATTTGGTTGAATCTGAGCAGATAATGGTGCCCCAAACACTTCAGCTTTCATCCTGCTGCTCTTGTCAGCAGTCACATCATCAATAAATACAAGAGAACCAGTTCCACTGGCAGCCATACATGGCCATGACATAACAGTACCTCCACCATGCTTCACTGATGAGGTGGTGTGCTTTGGATCATGAGCAGTTCCTTCCCTTCTTCCTTCTCTTGTCTTCCCATCATTCTGGTAGTTGATCTTTGTTTTATCTGTCCATAGTATGCTGTTCCACAACTGTACAGGCTTTTTAGATGGTTTTTGACAAACTCTAATCTGGCCTTCCATTTTTAAGGCTAACCAATGGTTTGCATCTTGTGATAAACCCTCTGTATTTATTCTAGTGAAGTCTTGTCTTGCTTACAAGAGCAGCAGGATGAAAGCTGAAGTGTTTGGGGCACCATTATCTGCTCAGATTCAACCAAATGCTTCAAAACTCATTGGACGATGCTTCACAGTGCAGATGGACATTGACCTGAAGCATATTGCAAAAGCAACCAAAGACATTTTTAAGGCAAAGAAGTGGAATGTTCTGCAATGGCCAAGTCATATCATCTGACCTGAATCCAACTGAGCATGCGTTTCTCTTGCTGAAGCCAAAACTGAGGGCAAAACACCCAAAACACAAGCAGGAAGTGCAGACGGCTGCAGTAAAGGGCTGGCAGAGCATCACCAGGGAAGAAGCCCAGCATCTGATGTTGTCTATGGGTCCAACACTTCAGGCAGTCATTGACTGTAAAGGATTTGCAACCAAGTATTAAAACTGACTGTTTAATTGATGATTATGTTAATTTGTCCAAATACTTATGAGCCCTTAAAGTCGGGGGACTGTGTGAAGAAATGGTTGTCATTCCTACATGGTTCATACTACATTTTTGAAAAAAGCCTTAAATGAAAGCTAAGAGTCTGCACTTTAAGCAGGTATTCATTGTTTCATTTAAAACCCATTGTGGTGGTGTACAGAGCCAAAATGATGACAACTGTATCATTGTCCAAATAATTATGGACCTGACTGTAAATATAAAACATGTTTTTGGACTGCGGGTTTGAATCCACCAGCTGTCTGGGTGCCTTCATTGTGGAGTTATAATGTTCTCCCCGTGTCAGTGTGGGTTTTCTCCAGGATCTCTGGCTTGTTGGGGAGGTTAGTTAAGATTAATTTGGTGACTCTAAATTACCCATAGGTGTGAATGTGAGTGTGAATGGTTGTCTGCCTCTATGTGTTAGCCCTGTGATAGTCTGGCGACTTGTCTAGGGTGTACTTGCCGAATGGTACCCAATGTCAGCTGTGAAAGGCTCCAATCCCCTGCGACCCTGTTATGCTTCGTCCATGCACTCACATTAATGTGTGCCCATGTTTTTGTAGACCGCTCTTCCTCTTTCATTTGTTGCTTTGTTATTTCTATATTTTCTTCATGTATGTCCTGCTTGCAACAACCCTATTTGATAAGGATTTTCTACATTCATCAGCATTTCCTTACTTTAGTACCAAATTTACCATTATAACTTTAAATTGTAATTCTCATCGTGTAGCAAGCTGCCCAGTGTTTTCTGCTTGTATCTGTTATATGTGCTGTTTCTGTTCAACCGATGTATTGGAGATGTATAAAATAGAACATTTTAGGCAGCACAGGTGGATATGAGAGGAACATCATGAACAAATTATTTATCCATATTTAGAGTCTGCAATCCACCTAGCCTGCAAATCTCTGGACTGTAGGAGGTAAAAGAAATACAAAGAACACTCACACTGGATAAAAAAGAAACAGGAGATCGAGCATATGCTTATGGATGTATTTTAATAAAAATAATTCTGTCAAAATTAAACAGAATACAATATTTCTTTTTTAACATGTTTCCAGTACATAGGTTTTTTTTTCAATTATCATTTTTCCTTTTTTATATCATTTTAAAGGTTTTAAAAGTCATGCTAAGTAGAGGGTAACTCATTTCACAATTGTTTTTTTTTTACTTTTTATTTTTTGCTAAAACTCAAAAGTCAAAATATGAAATTAAAATCATGATAGAAGTCAATTGTGCACAGCTTGTCTGCGATGCCTAAATCCATTTCTCCGGCCTCTCTGCAAGAAGTCCATGAGGCTTCAGAGGCCTCGGGCCCATTTCCAAAACTGTTCACATTCATCCTTTCCTTGAAACAATCACTGATCACATCAGTGCTTATGTCTATGCAGGGATTAGAGGAAGGGTGCGTGGTAACAGTGCTGAGACACAGCCCAGGCTCAAACACAAAGGACAGCTGGGAGACTTGTTCCCTACAGGTATGCAACAGAGGTTGTTCTTTCACGTACAAGTGTGTGTGTGTGTGTGTGTGTGTGTGTGTGTGTGTGTGTGTGTGTGTAACAGAAGTCCTTTACAGCTGTAGAAGCAGATGTCGTGTGTGTACTGTATGTGTGGTTATTAGAATAGTTCCTATTATAGCAGAAGGTCTGTATAAAAACCAACTCGGTAAAAAGTTTGTCCACATACCCTGTAGTAAACCCCACATTGCATATACACATCTCCAGTATTATATCATTCCATATTTCTCTACCATAGACTGAAATTCTCTTATAAATGGAAATATACACTTCAGGATGGATCCACAAGTCATTTGCCAGGTCACAACAAAGCAGCCAAAGTGACAGATCGCCACTGGTCAGACAACATTAAGTCATTGCTATTTGGTAGGAAATAGGTCTGGTGTAAAAACAAAAGACTCTAAATGTTTCAGATAAAACTAAGGTGTGGAACAAACCAGGTTTGTGATCAAAATCCAATCATTGGTCTAGACATAAGGTGAAGTTGAGCCCAATCTGTAATTTTGCAATGAACAATCATCTGTTAAGATACAGAGACAGAAAGCTGATGATTATAATAAAATGTCAAAAATAATAATCCAATACTAAACTCCAATATAACATAAATAAATAACACATTGTGAAATAAATAATCTGAAACACATTTAAGAGAGCCAATGAACTGTGAAATATGAGACATTTTCAAAACTCAACTCAGGAGCTAATGTTAGGGATATTTCCAGAATCACAACACTGTCTAAAGTACTCTGAATTAACCAGACAATGTTAGCTACTGCAGCTAACACTAGCTCTTCACTTTGATGCTAAATAATAAACCCAAGCTCACAAGCGAGCCTGGAGTTAGCTGGCTAGGTAGGTAGCATATGTAGCCTTGTTACGTTAAACAAAAAAAAATCTAACAAGTAGTTACTGTGCAGTGTGTCAAAGAGCAGCAACTAGTTGGTTTATTAAAAATGACTAAGTTGCTAGTAAGTTAGTTACTAGCTAGTAAGTTATCTATCAGCTAATAGGTGCTAGCTAAATTTTGGCAGATTTAGGGGGATAAATTGGCAGGAATGAAACATAATTGTTTTCATTAGTTTATAATCACCTGACACTAAGATTCGTCTTGTTGTTATCTTAGAATGAGCCTTTTATATCTATGTACGGAGTGGGACTTTTTCATAGATTAATAATACAACCTAGACACTATATGGCAAGATGGTGCTTATGCCATCTTGTGCATATGACGAAAAAGTTTTCAAGCTCCTGAGTTTACTTCTGCAGTATCCTTCCCATTGAATATATGCAGTAGTGGGGAAAATGCAGGGAATTTTTTTTTTTTTTTTGCTGCAATACCGCAAGTGGCCACTGGGGAAAAACTGGCTGCAAGGCTGAGCAGCATTACTGGGGACCTGCAAACCCTGGAAAAGAGTTATAATTTTAGGACTCCTGATTTCCTCGTCTCAAAGTAAATGGGTTTTTGGTTAGATGCCTGAAATAAAGTCTGTGGTTAACACAAGCTCAACAGATTCTCACACTTGAACTGAAATATGTCAGTTAATACCCCACTCCTCAATTATAAAGCTTTTATGCGTCTTAAAAAAGACGGTTGCTAACAAGTGGCTAAACCAAACGTCATCATGCCGACCATGGCTTTACAGCCTAGTTGTGGCAGCAACATATAATTCCTGCGACATGTAGTTTGTTTATAGCAAAACGTTAGCTTTTTGTGTTTGCTGATTGCATTTAGGCTCCAAAAATCATAAACGTGGCGTTCATTTGTGACGATTATCTTGTTGTATCTTGCTGTAAGTATTAGTTACCCACAGAGTTTTTTTCTGCAATAATCCAAAATTCCATAGGCTTTTTGACAAGGGGACGAGAGCAACGCTTACTTCCTTGTTGGCCTACAGAAAGATGTCATCCCTGGAACACTCTATAGACCAGCATATGGACTGTATTATTTCACAATTTATTGGTTCAATTATATAATTTTTACTCCATTTATTCAAATGATATTTATTTCAAAATGTATTATTCAGTCACTGAAAAGGTCCAATGTGGAGGATATAGGGAGATAAACTGGCATCAATGAAATATAATATTCATAACTAATTTTTATATTCACCTGAAACTAAGAATTGTTGTCTCTATACTAAGCGGGACATCTTCCATGGAGTCCGCCATGTTGTCCTACAGTAGCACAGAACAAACAACCAAACACTGGCTCTAGACAGGGATGTTTGTGTTTCCGCATTGGCCACCGTAGCTCTCCCATATTCTTGACACACATGAAAGGAGATCTGCAATCTCACCACTAGATGTCACTAAATCCTACACACTTGACCTTTAATATTTAACATTTGAGGCTCAATACAACCTGACTGTCAGCAAGAGGTGGTTGTCAAAAGATGCTGTAGCTGTAATTTCATGCTGTTGGGGGCTAGAAGTGGTATCTGTGTTTTTTTGTACAACTGATCTGATTCCATAAACAGGAGCACTGTGGTTTCATCTAATGGGAAAAACTGAACAATAAAAAGTTGGGACAAACATGTGGTTGTGGGTCACAGAAATAAACTTGTCTATGTCCTCCTCTTCAATAGCGGGTAGGATATAGTCAAGTGAAGTTTATGGGTGAAATGGAGGGATCTGAGTTGGGGGAAAAAGCCCTGTTCCAACACACACACAGCTGGCCTAATAACCTTTGAGAGGTTTGAAATCAAATGCCCCAAATGAAAGAAATATTGTGGCTTACTTATCACAATCACAATTATCACCCTGAAGAAAAAAAAAATCTTCTGGTTTGGCAAATTATTTCAACTCTTTTTTTGAAAACTGTAATTGCGACAGCATATGCACAGCGCAGGAAAGGCAGTGGACAATGTGAGAAAAAAAAAGTAATGAAATCCCCAGGGGTGACTTTTGGCCGTCCACACACTGTGCTTGTTAGTCTGCCTTTGAAACTGATTTTCTTTATGCTGGCATCAAGGCGACCATGATAACAGTGTTATGTTGGGTCTGGAGAGCAGGTGTTGGAGCTGCAGCTGCTGCTGAGCTCTGCCACCTGCAACGACATCACTGATTGGACGATGCTGTGGTTGTTACACTAAAATTAAGGGTCCAACACCTCTAATATTCCAATTAAATGCCTTGTCATCACCATTTCTCCCTGGTTCTCCACTACAGAGACCCTTCAAGTATGTTTTTTCCAAGGATGATGTTTTTTTTTCATTATGTGTCTATGGTGCAAAGTCTTTTATATTTGAAGCATTCCCTTACTTAATTTTTATTTCCAACTTTCTGGAATAATTCAGGGAACCACTTTTCTCACATCAGTCTATTTTCTATTTTATATCAGTGGTTGTTTTTACGACTGTGTCACATCAGCCTTGACCAGAGCTAATGATCTGCTCCACACAATCCACAATTGTTTTTTTTATGTATTTTTTGGGGTAAAGGACTCAGTCTGTCTGTCTTCTGTATCTTAACAAAAATGATGTTCATAGACCTCAGGTTTTGTGACCTGTAGTCATGGGGGTCACCGTGGTAACCAGATGTGGGTACTGTGGTCTGTGATATGGTGAACAACAACAATGCGAGTAAAATACTGATCGTAGGGAATTAAAATCCACCCATTATTAAAACATAAGAAAAAAATAAAAAGGGGGGGATTTACAATTTTTTTTGTCCAGGATGAGCACAACAAACTGACAAAAAATGAACTATAAAAATGGCTAGATAAACAGAATAATAATTAATTATCTTTAAATAGTGTCACACATTTCTTTATTTGATAATACTAAATTAAAAGGAAGCTTTCTTCTCTCCCGCTCTCCTCTGCTCCTCTGTGCCGCTGGCTCGGTCTGACGGACAGCCAAACACACCAATCACACGCATGCTCTTTCCTCCGTCACCATGACAACTACCTGCTGGACATGCCTTCTCTCAGTGCTACTTAACATTAACCTGTGGAGAGATGGGTAATCATCTAAGCGAGGTAATGAATGAATGTAACATGATTAAACAGCTTGCTTCAATATCCATGTGCAGCATAGAATTGGAGTTTTGCCATTTTCATTTTGTTCTGGAGGAATTGTCCTTACTTTTACTTCATTTTCTGTATGACCACTGTATATGTTATTAAAATGTATTTCATTTTATGCAGGGAATTTACAATAAGGTGGTCCACTGTAGGAAAATAGACTGAGGCAGTAAATGCTGTGTTACATCCTGCAGGAGGGATGCACGATATTGGAATTTTAGCCAATATCCAATATGCCAATATGTAACAACTTATTTAACTGATACCAATATCTATACATCCACTTTTTTCTCCACCTAATTTTAGTGATAAACAGGTCTCTACTGTAGTGGAATTCACATCATATTATGCATGATGGCCCACCAGCAGATGGAGACATGTGGTACAATGCTTTTCACTGTATGTAATATTCATTCATTGTGCAAATTAAGAAAAAGCATGTTGGCCGGTTCTGATGGTTCATCTTAAAGCCAATCTTGGCTGATACCAATGACCAATAGTATTTGGCATCCCTACCCTGCAGCCATACAGTCTTTCCACTATTGATCCATACACTTCAATACGGGACGCCAAAAATGCCAAATGTTACACCCCATAAGTCAATTAGAAAATATAGGAAACCCTGATATTTTTCAACCTAGATATCATTCTGATAACTGTGGTCATTCTTCCTATAGGGGTCATTTTAACTTTGCACTCGCCACCATTGTTGAGGTTTGGAAACTTGAATCTCATAAAACAATGCATCAGTGAAAGCACCTGTTACACACAGAAACTTTGCACATCGTGTGTGATGCTTTATATTGTTTTACTTGTTGTGAACATCGCAATATGAGACAAAATTAAACGACACATTCGCTCCCTTGCTTCTCTCCACTGTCGCCGCTTTCACCCCATGTCTTGCATTTGCCACCATGGTTACCTGAAGGGGCTGAACTATCCTCCCTCTTTGTCTCTGCACTGTCTCTCTGTCTGTCTGTGTGTGACCTTCATCCTCTATTAAATTTTCCTCCTCCTCATCATCATCATCTACCTGAATATTACTATCTGACCTGTTGAAAGCAGACTACCTTAGTTATGAAATGATACTGTGCACCCTGTTCCTCTCGTATGTGTTCTGCAGGTTACGCCGCATTCTTTACTGCTTTTTGGTCAATCAGCTCTCTAAAGGCTTTTGATGGATACAAGTAAAACCTTGAAAATCAAAGCGCTTTGGAGTCAGTGTGAAACTGTAATTGACACGATGAGAGGTTGTATTTATTTTTAAACATGTGACATGAAAAATAGGGACCTTGTGTGCAATGGCCTTCGGGGTAAGGATGTTAGAGGAAGCCAATCAGAGGCAGAGAGGGGCAGGTCTTTCCTTCTCTATCCTAGGAAAACACAAATTAACCTTCTGGGCAAACCAAGCCAATTTCACACCTGTTTGTTTACATGTGTGAGGCTGTGTGCTGCCGTAAACACATGCAAGAGAAGTAGGAGAAAACAAGAGACTTTGTTTATTTTATTGCCTGCTAAATAATCTAAGTGCAATGGCTGCTTATCCAGTGAACTATTATGAGGATGATCAAGCATCCTTCAACTTCCCAAAATCAATTGGAAGAAAAACATGTTTACGTAAAATCATGCAATATATGCATCAATAGGTAATAAGTGTAAGTTAGCTGGCAAGTTGCCCTGGAATTAAATCCCTATGTGGTTAGCTGCATATGTTGTTTTGCAGGTGTCCACCTTTCTGAATCTCCACAACAGTGGGAAGTGAAAAGTTAGAATGACCACAATTTTGAGAAAGATGTAGGCTCAAGTACAATTCATGAGCTTTTGATTAAAGCTGTAATTAAACTTCTGGATAAAAGATTTTAGTCAGAAACAAGCATTGTCTGTGGCTGTGTGTTAATGCCTTATGCTACATAAACTTGACTCACCTGGACCTGGGCTAGTGCAAAAAGTTGTCTACTCTGGCGAAGGAGCAGGAACCAGACCGGACTCGGGCCATGAGCTGAACACACTCTGTGGCCTGGCCGAGCGCTAACATCAACGGAGGCTGCTTAGGCAGATTTTGGGACTCTAGAGCAGAAAAACACAGTCAGGCAGGGGTGCAACACACACTGCATCAAAGTGTGTGTGCTGGGTTTGACAGGCTCTGTATCTAAGGCAGGAACAACATCAAGCAGTTGCTGTTGTTTTGCCACATGGCTGTTACATCATCATGGTGTTGCAGTACATAAACTGCGGTTTTAGTTTGAATACACATTTGTCATTGTGAAACACAGTATGTGTCTGTGTTTGCTCTTTACCCAGTATGGCGCTGTTGAGTGCAGAGCAGAGGGATTCTCTCTGCGTAGGGTCTAACTGCTGGCCCACGGGGCAGTTCCACGGGTCAGAGTACGCTAGCAGGCTGAATGCATCCTACACAGATGGACGGACAGATAGACAGACAGCCCATATGAATACATTATGTGGCTTCCAAAATTGGGCTTACCTTGGGTTTACCTTCCCTACACATAACCACACACTTCTGGATGCAAGATGAAGCAATGATTGATAATTAATTATACATTAGCAACACAGCTATGAAAAAAGATTGCCCTGAGTGCTTCCCAAATAAATGTTGTCATTTCATAATATATTTTGGGCAATATTGATGATCTCTGGCTTAAATTATGATGACACAAACTACAATATGACTTCAGTCTCAGTAACTAGACACCATACTGAGACCACAAGTGAGTATTGCTGCTAACTTATTGCTAAAGATGAATTATTAAAAAAATATTGAGTTTACTAGACCATGTAGGTCAGCTGAAGTAAAAAGACAGAGAGACTACTGATCAATTCTGTACTTGTCTGTTGCTTGTGGCAGTTTTGTACAAAATGCCACCTAAACCGCAACCAGGTCATGCCCAAGAGTGTATGGAGACCCAGACAAGACCAAGACTTGGAGTGGTTGAGACCAATTCAAGATAAAGACCAATGCAGGGCAGGAGCAAGTTACTTAGACCAGACTAGCCTGAGTCCCACACTTGGGATAAAATGTGGAAGATGCAAACTAAAGGCACTCCTTAAACTGATCTGAAAGATATACATATCAATAAGAACACCCACAAGAAAAAAAAGATTTCTCCTCAGTCACCTCTTTTATTGCCAAACTACATTTATATGTGTGTATTTATGAGCATGCCATGAGAAATGACAACATAAAATAATCAAAAGGCATTGCAGAGGTGAATTTTATGAGTAGGAATGATCCTTTGTTTTCTATGAGCGAACAAATACAAACACTGAGGAGCTGAAAGGAACTTAACCATCTTAATTCAACACTCCTTTTTGGCACGGGCAGTTGAGTGACATCCCCACAGTTGTGTTCTTGACCAGTCTTGAAATAAAGTCCACTTTGTCTGAGACCAAGACAAGAGATCTTAAAAACCTGCTCTCGAGACCAAGACCGATCTTGAGCACTACTTAAACACTGGCTTGCACTGTTGATCTCACTCTAATGAACACTCAATGTAGCAGAGGATTTTAGCCTCTTTCCGCTCACTGTTTCAGCTTTCTAGCTGTGCACAGACAGTCTATTTAAATCCCGCATGTGTCACTTTCATCTATAAAACCTAATCTGTTTGCTGTTGGCACAGTGCTTGGCAGAGAATCATGGATCTGACAAGGAATACACAGATATTCGTCTTACTTTCTTCAACTGGCCAAAAGTATAACTGGATGACAATGTTGCTCTGTGACTGCTCGGTGTGTTAGTGGGTAACAACTTCAATCGCTGAAAGTACAGTATGTCAGGGCGACGTTTCTGTCACTTGACCTGGAGTCCGTCTGACCCCTGGTGGTTAAACATTACATAATGCAACAGTAGACGAAAACTGTTAAATAGCAGGTCATTTCAAAATAGATGTCTTACTGAAATGTCAGTTTCTACGGGCCAATTTTGTTGTGATAGAGGTACTGCTGTAATGCAATTAGTACAAACCACTTTTTGATATTAGAAAACGGTCTGTGTTTAACAAACAACTACAGATGAGCCCCCTGGCAGAGCTTTTATCATTCCAATGCAGCTTCTCGTGTTTTTCCAGAGACTATTGTTCTCAGAGCGGATGCTTATGAATCAGAAGACACAGCCTGCAGTACAGAGTAATTTGAGCCTCCTCCTGTGTACCAGAGAACTGACCCGCTGGTTGTTACAGTTGGGACTCTATCTGCTTTATTACAGCACATCCTAAATCAAACATTGCTCAAATTCCTGCAGTGTGTACAGAATGCTGCCACCAGGATTTTAACTGGTGCCAACAGAAGAAATCTCCTCAGCCCGGTTTTGGCATCACTTTAATCTGTTGTCGCACAGCTGTTTGTTGAATTTGAAAGTGTGTGCACGTGCAGTTGTGTGTCTGTGTTGGTGTGTACCTGTAACATCTTCTTGTGCGTGGCGTTCTTGCCGTACTCGCGGCACAGCTGTTCATTGAGCGCCTGCAGCTCCCGTCCAAACTGGATCATCCTCTCTGTGGCTGCCTGGTTCCCTCCACAAAGCTGTCTGCCATTACTACAACCCTCATCTGCTGGCAACACACATACGTACACATATAATTAAAGTAGACGCACAGAAACATCCTGCTGGAAGTTAAATGTATGTATGTAAATATATATTTTAGGGAAAGAGGTAAAAAAAAAATTGTGCTGTACAAAAGGATTAAGTCGCTAAAAAAAAAACAACACATACACGAGAGGCAACACAACTGTCAGGTACACAACTCACACATTTAGAGACACAACACATAGGCACGTGTCAGAGAAAGCCACATCATGGGGACTTAATGCTAATGAATAAAAGTAGATTTTCAGCCTGGACTTAAATGAGTTATTGGAGGGGGCAGATGTGATTGGGAGGGGGGTGGCTGTTCCACAGTTTGGGGGCACACACAGCAAAGACACAATCAGGCAGCCAGGAGCCCCAGGTCAGCTGACCTGAGGGACTTGGGGGTATAATGAAGGGTTAGGAGGTCTGCAATGTAGGATTGGGCCAGACCACTGAAGGCTTTGTACACAAACAGGAGGACCGTCAAATCAATTCTGAACTGAAGACAGCCAGTGGAGAGAGGCTAAAACAGGTGTGCTTTGGTCTCTCCTCTGGGTACCTATAAGGAGCCTGGCAGCGGCGTTCTGAACCAGTTGGAGGCGGGACAGAGAGGACTGACTAATACCAGAGGATTCAGAGTTACAGTAGTCCAAACGTGAGGAGATGAGAGTGTGGGTGACTATCTCCAGGTCTTTGTGGGAGACAAATGGTTGATTTTGGATATGGTGCGGAATTGAAAAAAACTGACTTTTGCAACGGCATTAATTTGCTTGTGAAACTTAAAGGCGGAGTCAAATATCATGCCAGGATTTGTGTGTGTGTGTGTGTGTGTGTGTGTGTGTGTGTACCTGTGACTCCATTGCCAATGCTGTTGTCGTCCGGCTGAAGGATCTCTTCGTGTTTGTATGTGCCATTCATGATCCGCGCTGAGGAGCCCTCGACAACCCCGTTGGTATAGTGCTCTGCCTCAATCTCCATCTCACTGTCACTAGACAAACACACACACAAACACACACACACACACACCTCATCAGTTCATTTGAATTTTACAGATAGGGTAACATGACTAAACACAACGCTCAACAGTGGTGATGAAGCTCATGTTAGGGATTTTTACTCATCGCTGGTATTGTTGCGGCTTGTGTTATTTTTACCCTGTGAGTCTGTGTGTGTGTGTGTGTTTTGTCATGGCAAAATGTGGTCCTGGAGACACCTATTGTAGCGAGAACTACCACAGAAGCAGTTTTGAGTACTTTGCCAGGTGTTTATATGTCTGTCTGTCTGTCTGTCTATGAATAGACTTTGTCTCTAGCATCACAACCATGCAAAATGCAGATGGTTACAACTTGTACCCTATGGGGTAATACAACACTTTTGACATTGATGAAACCTGGGGACATGACCCCTTTACAACAGAAGTCCACTGAGGCAATAAACACCAGCATTTAGCCTGTGTTTATCTAAACTACTTATCTAGTCCTTAATTTTACTTGCATATTGTTGAGCGGCTGTGGTTTAGGAGGTAGAGCGTGTTGTTTATTAATCTGATGATAGGCAGTCTGATCTCCGACTCCTACAGTCTGCATGCCAAAGTGTCCTTGGGCAAGATACTGAATCCCAAAGTGTGAGTGCGTGTGAATGTTTAACTGATGAGCCAGTGGCACCTTGTTCCACTGCCTCCGTCACCAGTGCTGGAATGTGTGTGTGAGTGGGTGAATGTGGCATGTAATGTGAAGCGTTTAGAGCGGTCATTAAGACTGAAAAGGCCCTATACCATTTATCATTTAAGCTGTTAATAGCATAGAAGATGCATCTCAATCTTTTAGCTATTAGGTCAGAGACTAAAACGTCATCATCACCTACAATTAGAGGTCTCAAGTTGTGGAAAAGATAAACAGAACTGTCCTTTCAAGATGCTACTGTGTTGTGCCCTGTCATGATATTGCCACATTAACACCATGCTAAGAAACAGATCATATAAGATCCCCTAAAGCCCCTGAAAACTAAATCTTTCTATAACACTAAATATTCAATATGAAATAAGCCACAAAGTGAAAGTTTATTTTCTATTCAGAGTTCAACAATCAAAAACTTGAATCTGCCTAATCAGACTGCGTGGGTGTGTGGTTTATTCTGATTTGAGAGACAGTGTCTAAGAAGTTTAGCAAATAACTCAACAACTGTTGATTCTGATTCAGATGTTGCTTTATCGGTTCACTGAAAGATGTGATGTCACCTTTTTCTGACTGAGCTGCATGCGTTTAAAAACCAGTGAGAAGAGCAGAGACAAAGAGCTCAGACAGGAATCTCTCGAGAGAAATAACCAAAACTGGTCAAACTTTGGCAGACAAAAATAGTGTCTCCATGTAGCAGCACATCACTCACTCAACATAGGACGACATCTAAACTAACTTTGCAGAGATGGAAATAGAATAGAGGTAAAATGGCTCCTGTTTCCTTCTATAAATAATCCAGTGGCACACAAAGTAAAATGTAGTGCAGAACCATAGATGCTGCCAATATGCTTGTGTGCCAATGTTTTTATTCGCCTGCACTGATTACATATTAATGTCTTAAAATGACTGTGGTAATGATTTATTGATGATAAACTATCCCATGTGGTGCCTTTGATGATAAACTGAGATAATATTTAGCATAACTACAGCATAACCTACATTTCTATGTATCCATGTATTGAGGGTATCTGCTGCATCTAATATCAGAACCAAACCTTACACCATACCTGTTGTACCTCAGCTGTGGTGATAAAGCCAGAATAAAGAAGTCTGTGTTTATCTGCTCTAAATGTAACCGACAGGCCTTCCTACCTGGTTTCCTGGGTGCTGTTGGCGCTGTGTGGCTGACTCTTAGTGGAGTCTGAGGAGTTGGACTCGGAGTAGTTGACGGAAGAAGGGGAGGAGGAGGTGGAAGAGGAGGCGGAGGAGGACACGCTGGGGTATTTGACGCTGCTGCTGCCAGTGCCACTGTGGCTCTTTGACTTGTTGGGGGGAGTCACTCCGTTACTGCAGGTTGGACTGTCTGCTCCTATGCAGGGGGAACAGCAGCAAAACACAGACACATATCTCAATTCTTAGAATAACTGGGACAATCGTACTATTTGGTGTCTGTTTTTCTGGCAATTCCATCTTTGTCAATGTGTTGCTCTTCGGAGAGGACAGAGATTTAGAGGAGATGGGTATGTGTACCTCCGGTGTGCAGGTGTGTGTTGCTGGCTCCGTGGCGGGGGCTGAGGCTGGGTGAGCCAGGGTAACTGTCCTGGGACTTAGGAGAGCGAATGGTCAAGCAGCGAACCTCGCTGTCTGTACCGTTCACCATCTCCACAAACTGACGACACCTAAAAAGCAAGGCATACTGGTGTTAATGGAAAACTACGCTTCTTGGCAGTGAAGGTAGACAAGCAATGCTCGTCTGCAGCATCTTTGTCCTGCATTTAATCCTAAAGGGCAGCTCATTATTTCAAAGGTTTTATATAATTCTGCAGCTTCCCAGTTGAGTTTCCTTTGCATTCAAATTCAGGATTTAAATGTTGGTCAAAGTATGTATGTTTTACATCAAAATGCTTTTTCCCCAAGCCCCTCTGAAAAACTTTTTCTACCATGACCTGATGTGTCCACTGATGTTACTGCACATTGTCATTGCCGTGTATAAACCCACGTACTGCTATGGACAAAAAATTAGTTTGATTCAGAGGGTCACAAACTAAACCACTGAGTCGGTGGTAGACCAGCAACTCCTGTGTGCTGTGAGGTAAAATTATGTTTCTGGCAATGGAGTGTGGTAGCTTTTAAGAGGGCAATATAACAGCTTTGGTTCCCTGTCAGACAGGGCTGTCTGATGGCAAAGTAAAATAGTCTAAATATAGTACACTTAAGATTCAGTGTGTAAGATTTGGGGGAATTTGGTGGCTTATAGTTGGGAGGATTGCAAAACTGCAACCCCCTGATCCTTCCCAGGTTAGAATTCCTTCAGTGTTCTTTGCTCAGGCGGTTTTTATCAGAAGCAGAATTATCCAAAAAGGTTTCCTCCTTTCCAAAACAAACAGACCAGGTGATTAAAATTGGTAGGGACACTGAATAAAGCAGTTTGTTTCTCTGACGCTGTTTGGCATGTTGGAGAAGGGGCGCTAGTGCTTGCTATGTCTGCTCACCTTTCCCAGATGTTCAGGAGGTTTTCACCGGGAGCTGAATTATCCGAAGAGGTCTCTTTCTCTCCAAAACACCCGTTTTATAAAACTGGTAAAAACCACTGAATAAAGCAGTTTCATATTACAAATCAGTGTTAATCTGATGCTGCTTGTTGTAGATGGAGTTCTAACTATGGTGGCTGATGCAAAAATGTGAAATCGCAAATGGCCTTAGCTGGAGCCATTGTTTGGTTTGTCCGTTCTGGGCTACTGTAGGAACATGGCGGTGAAAACGCCAAATTCCATAAACGAGGACCCACTCCCTATGTTTTTTTTTTTTTTTTTTGATATTTTTTGTGGCATTTTTAGCCTTTAATGGACAGGACAGACGAGCGTGGGGGGGGGGGGGGACAAGTGACATGCAGCAAACCCGGAGTCAAACCCGGGCCGCTGCGGCAACAGCCTTGTACATGGGGCGCCTGCTCTACCACTAAGCCACCGACACCCCACCTGCTCCCTGTGTTGATATAAACAGCCCATTGTAGGGTAAGGAAAACACAGCAACTCTCATTTTCATGTGATTATACATTAAAGAAAACATACTTATCATATTATATTCCATTTCTGTTGATATATCCCCCTAAATCTTGCACACTGGAACTGATTTTGATTTCTATTTAGATGGTTCATTTTTTAGGAGGCTTAAATACATTTTGCTTTTGCCTGTGTCCACAGCCACCGTGACAGGAACAGTAATTTTACTCCACAGAAAATGAGGAGTTGCTGGTCTACCATTTCCTCTGAGCAGATTGTTAGTTCGTATAACTGTGTGACTTTTGGATCTCAGCTGGCATCCACAGTGGGGGGCTACATTGTTTAGCCTCTGTACCCCGGTACTCCTGTCTACTTATCCAAACTGGGAGCATGCCAACCCCCATCCACTATAGGTAATACACTGATTATGGATCTACATTATGATTATACATGAAAAAAAATCAGTATTGAATTGAACCTACATTGCTGCTTTTTGCTCACTGCTGGATGGGAGTTTCCATTTGAAAAAACAAACAAAAAATCAACAGGGAAAAGAACACAGGTGGAGTTGCCCTTTAGTCTTCAAAACCCTCTGACTTACTTCAACATGAATAGTAGGTTGGGGTTGTGTTCTAACAGGCCGGGATAAAGCTGCTGAGTAGCCTCTATGGCTTCACCCACCCGTCCTGCCAGCACCAGCTTCTGTATTCCTATTAGACAAAAGAAACAGGCTGTTATTTACAGTATATTGATCAAGAGGAACCATGCTTTCACAGCAAACATTTGATAGGCCAGTGTTATCATACATTCAGACCACAGGTCATTAGGAACAAACAATACCCAAAGTATCTCATACTGGACGTTGTTTGCTTCAAATTTATGTTATATTTACAAATATAGTTCATAATAACAATCTGATATGAAGAGCATAAATGATGTTAAGGAAAGTTTGCTTGTAAAACCTAGTGAGTGCTGGAAGTATTCTGCTGTAAAAACAGGCAACTACACCTTTGATTAGGAGAAAAAAATTCAGAAACAATACCAAAATGTGAAATATTATATGTGTGGTTGGCTTGTTCACTCACTCTGTCTGTTCTTTATAGATGTCTGGTCCTCTTGTATCATGGTCTCTGTGGCTCTGGCGAAGGCTGTTGCAGTGGCACAGTACCCATGATGCACCAGATAGCTGGAAACCATACTGGAGACAAAACATGACAAAAAGAAATCGTTTTAAGGTTGAATTTCTTAAGGGATAAGTCTGATGATATTCTATGCTCATTTTTTCAACCAAAGGTCAAAATGTGACAGTCCGTCTCTACAGCGAGCTTATTGGTTCCAACAGGTTGTTTTTAAAGACATAAATCTTTAAAAAGAGGTTACAAATTTATGGTTTCATTATTTAAAAATGCTTCATAATTTTCTAAAAAAAACTGGGCACTGTAGTTCATAGGGAACCTTACTCAAACATGAGTAAATAGTGCATTTGTTGGGGACTATTTTCAGCAGTGATCTACTGAGGATTTACAGCAGGACAGCGTATGTAGGACTGGGTCAAAATAAACCACAGCGCCAATGTCATGGTAATAAAGGAATATGTCACTCAGTTAAAACAGTGATGCCTTTTTAACAGTTTATTTATTTTTTTTACCGACGGAGCTCTACGGCACAGATGACAAGATATATCGCTGTTATATATTCACAGATTTTAGATGAAGCTATGTTGCAGGATCACTAAAAAAAACAGTGTCCTCATAGTGACAGGTACAGTACAGGCCAAAAGTTTGGACACACCTTCTCATTCAATGCGTTTTCTTTATTTTCATGACTATTTACATTGTAGATTCTCACTGAAGGCATCAAAACTATGAATGAACACATGTGGAGTTATGTACTTAACAAAAAAAGGTGAAATAACCGAAAACATATTTTATATTCTAGTTTCTTCAAAATAGCCACCCTTTGCTCTGATTACTGCTTTGCACACTCTTGGCATTCTCTCAATGAGCTTCAAGAGGTAGTCACCTGAAATGGTTTTCCAACAGTCTTGAAGGAGTTCCCAGAGGTGTTTAGCACTTGTTGGCCCCTTTGCCTTCACTCTGCGGTCCAGCTCACCCCAAACCATCTCGATTGGGTTCAGGTCCGGTGACTGTGGAGGCCAGGTCTGCCGCAGCACTCCATCACTCTCCTTCTTGGTCAAATAGCCCTTACACAGCCTGGAGGTGTGTTTGGGGTCATTGTCCTGTTGAAAAATAAATGATCGTCCAACTAAACGCAAACCGGATGGGATGGCATGTCGCTGCAGGATGCTGTGGTAGCCATGCTGGTTCAGTGTGCCTTCAATTTTGAATAAATCCCCAACAGTGTCACCAGCAAAACACCCCCACACCATCACACCTCCTCCTCCATGCTTCACAGTGGGAACCAGGCATGTGGAATCCATCCGTTCACCTTTTCTGCGTCTCACAAAGACACGGCAATTGGAACCAAAGATCTCAAATTTGGACTCATCAGACCAAAGCACAGATTTCCACTGGTCTAATGTCCATTCCTTGTGTTTCCTGGCCCAAACAAATCTCTTCTGCTTGTTGCCTCTCCTTAGCAGTGGTTTCCTAGCAGCTATTTGACCATGAAGGCCTGATTGGCGCAGTCTCCTCTTAACAGTTGTTCTAGAGATGGGTCTGCTGCTAGAACTCTGTGTGGCATTCATCTGGTCTCTGATCTGAGCTGCTGTTAACTTGCGATTTCTGAGGCTGGTGACTCGGATGAACTTATCCTCAGAAGCAGAGGTGACTCTTGGTCTTCCTTTCCTGGGTCGGTCCTCATGTGTGCCAGTTTCGTTGTAGCGCTTGATGGTTTTTGCGACTCCACTTGGGGACACATTTAAAGTTTTTGCAATTTTCCGGACTGACTGACCTTCATTTCTTAAAGTAATGATGGCCACTCGTTTTTCTTTAGTTAGCTGATTGGTTCTTGCCATAATATGAATTTTAACAGTTGTCCAATAGGGCTGTCGGCTGTGTATTAACCTGACTTCTGCACAACACAACTGATGGTCCCAACCCCATTGATAAAGCAAGAAATTCCACTAATTAACCCTGATAAGGCACACCTGTGAAGTGGAAACCATTTAAGGTGACTACCTCTTGAAGCTCATGGAGAGAATGCCAAGAGTGTGCAAAGCAGTAATCAGAGCAAAGGGTGGCTATTTTGAAGAAACTAGAATATAAAACATGTTTTCAGTTATTTCACCTTTTTTTGTTAAGTACATAACTCCACATGTGTTCATTCATAGTTTTGATGCCTTCAGTGAGAATCTACAATGTAAATAGTCATGAAAATAAAGAAAACGCATTGAATGAGAAGGTGTGTCCAAACTTTTGGCCTGCACTGTATGTGTTTGAGTGAGTGTGTGTGTGTGTGTGTGTGTGTGTGTGTGTAGGTGTGGAGACTGAATCTTACTTCTGCAGGACGGCCTGCCACTCCCCCAGCCTCTCTCCTATGGGGAAGCGAGCGATCATGCCATGGATCTTAGCCCGCCATTCGCTCATGTAGTCCTCGATGTCGAAGACAAATGGCTGCTGGCCAAAGTTAGCGTCTACGATCTCGCCCGGAGTTTGAAGCCCCACAGTAGGGTACAGGTTGGGCTGGTGGACAATAAAGATAAAAAAGAATCCCTTTTATAACAGTCAGTTTTCAGTTTTCAGTTTTCAGCGTAGCTTAAAGAACATAGCCCCCTGTCCCAGTTGTGTCCACACTGCAAGAAGTGGAATAATCTACTCTCCCAACACAAAGGGAACCTTGGTGACACAAGTGTGCAGTGAATGGTCAAACAAATGCAGCATTGGCCACCATCATTTTAAAAATCCGTTAGCCATTCAAATAACAGACAACCCAAAAAAAGTTTGTAACGAAAGAAAAAAAGGAAGAAAAAACAAATAACTGGACTGACAGTGAAGTCAAGGCTTTACTGAGCATATGCAACGGGGGAAATGCAATGCAATTTTGACTCATCAAAACTAAATATAAGAATCTTTGATAGCATGACGTTGCTACACCAACTGCTGGCCGGCTTATGTCACTTCAGCATTCCTAAGTATGTCGTTCTCCGGGAAGCTCCCCAGTGGGCAGTTCCCCTATAGGGTGTTCCCAGAACTGTTTGGTCTGAAAACACCTTAAGTTGCATTATCTTAAGAGAGTAATAAGCTGAGTGCTAGTTATTAGTTTCTGGTGGCAGCAGGCTTGTTTGTCTACAGCTTATCAACAAGGACACTAAACAGTGCCTTTTTAATGAAATACATATTTTAGAAATTGTGGTTTATAAAATATACTAGAAATGCAAATAAGAACTCAATGCCTAAGCCTCACAAGTTCTTAGCAGCATTGGTTATGGAAAGCCTCAGGTCACAGCTTGTTAACTTCTTGTATGGAAAACTGTTGTTGGGTAAACAGACTGGCAAACGATATAAACTGTAAACTGGCTTTTTACTAGGCTATCATTAAATTACAGGGTTCAGTTAGACTTTTCCTTTTGGTAAATGCAAAAACCACCAACAGGGTATGAAATTAACACCAACACCCAGTTGAATGCTGTTTAGGTTTGACAGTGGTCGGGAACTCCATCTACTCTTGCAGCAAATGTGGCCTGCAGCCAACTGTGATCTTGAGTTCCTGTTCTATTCTGAAAAGCCATTCAGCTGGTAAAACAGTTAAAGTGGCTGTTTGGGGTTTTTTGTTCCAGTTGCTGCAGCCACTGGACAAAAAAAGTTCAGTTTCCAACCCAACTGCCAACATAAGCTGCAATTAGATATGAACCTGCATGGTCAATATCCAGCTATGTATGTTATTATACACTCTGTCAGTCATTACAGTTACAGGAATGGTATGATAACAATCATACGGGTCCGGTATCATAATATTAGCTTAATGTGTAGAAAAGTGAGATGTACATGTAATTAGCTGAAGGTTGTACTGTATATTTTCCTCAAACATTATCTCTCATAACAAAGACAAGTATTTTCATGGCTGCCATGCTGCTATAGAGTCAAAACTCAGGCAGTAATGGAGGGAACTGAATTCAGATACATCAATGAAAGTACAGCAATAACAAAGTTTAATAAGAAACTACGGTGCTGGTAGAATTTAGTTGGCATAACATTAAAATGATGCGCAAATAATGGTACTTACAGGGAGGTCTGTGAAGGCTACACCTAAAGGATGAAAGGACAAAAAGTTTAAGTTAAGTTTACATATAAATTAAGCAATAAAGAACAAACTATCCATGACCATGTGACACAATTATAATCAGTTCATATACAACACACAACATGTTCACCTACCTAAACTGATGCCATTTTTGGTGTAAAAGCAAGTGTTGTTGATGAGGTTAACGCAGCAGCCAATCACATCCCCTGTGGTAAATGTTGGGCCGTATGGTTGGCCAGTCCCGGAGGAGCAGAAGGAGTGGCCATCATCTCCATGGTAACCGTATGAGTGCTTGTCCCATCCTAAAATAGGACAAGGATTAGGATTAGTTTTGTTATTTTATACTGGACCTCTTGTGAAAAAATGTGTTGTTAGCCAAACCCCTGTGACTAAACACTGGAAAGGCTTGATCTGTGCGCATGTTGTGTCACAGCATTTAGTCTGCTTCCTATTCAGTCTGATACTGCATACGTCAAGTGAGCGCTGCTCAGTATAAACGGTTTCTGAATCTCTGAGAGCATCTGAGGTGAAGTGACTTGCCCCGGGTCACTCTTAACAGTAGCTGCTGCTGCTGCTGCTGCTGCTGAAGGAGGGGAGACAGTTACTCATTGACTTCTGCTGCTCAGATTTTCCCATCTGACTGCCTGCAGGGCGTCTCATGAAAATTCACACAGACACACACACTCTTTCTGGCGCTGGCATGCGTTGCAATGCTGTGGGTGACCAGCAGGAGGATCTCGTCTATGTAAAGAAACTGGTGAGTCACTGCCAACAGGAACAGCAGCTCAGGAGGCTGAACCAGGAGAATATAGGGGGAGAAAAGGATGTCATGACTTGCTCATTAAACTCCCTAATTTCTTGTTCCTGCTGGTACTGATGCATGTTTATGTAACTGTGCGTGATTTATTCATCCAGACTGTTAGTTACTGCAGCTACAGAGTAAAAATCCCAAAACTCAGTATACCACACAGTGTATTTGGTAATGCTTTACAATTTTGATTATTTCCTTACAATTTCCAACTAGGTTCTCTGGAAAGAACTAATAACAATGTGAAGGAAAATAAAGACAGTGCTCAAAAGGTATTTTTCACAGCAGACATTTTGACTTGTCACTGTAGGAAAAGCACAGGTGTAACAAATAAGTAACAATGGCTCCATCTTATAGCATTAACAATAGCCCTGAGACAGCAAGCACAATACCTGCACCTTGAAACTGAAGCAGCATTCATTCATTCTACTATTTACACCTGTGCTTTTCCTACTGTGATGTGTCAAAATGTCTTCCGTGAGATAAGCCTTTCAAAATTTTACTTGGTAACATAAAGCAGAGGTTCACAATGCTTTTTGGCTTGTAATCCCTTTAAAAAGGAAGGAGTATGTGTTTGTGACCTCTCATCAAAGGTCATGGCCTCAGTGTGGACATGAGAGTAAATTTTCCTTCAGTTATTGTTTTCTTGCAGGACTAAAGAGGTCAAAGTATGCAGTATTCATCAGAGAGGAAAAAAAAGGCAAGGAAAACTAGAAAAGGGGAGGAAAAACCAGAATTACCACCTCACAGTTGTATTCCTCCATGAACCAGTCAAGTTACAGTTGACATAAATTTGTGTGAAAACATGGATGCTTCGTATGCATCTTCCCCCCGGCAGCACAGAACACCTATAGAGTATGATACTGTGATACCCTATGTTTATCCATATTTGTGTATTTCATACAGTAATTACAGAAATTGCAGTTATATATTCTATATAATCAGCACAGTGTCAAGGTGGGCATCCAAGATGAGTGTCACCAATTCAGTATCTGACCAAATGTCTCCCCACCTGTTGCTGAGTTATGCTGTTGAGTAATGGCTATAAAAATGTTTTTGCAGAACATTATGATGTCATAGTGAAATTGACCTTTGACCACAGTTTTGTGAGAAGCAGTGTCATAATCAGCCAAAGAATTCTTGATTTATAGTCAAAATCATGTTTTGTGAGGTGACAGTAACCTTGACTTTTGTCCTTCAATCACCAAATTCTAATCAGTTCATTCTTGAGACCAAGTAGACATTTGTGCCAAATTTGAGGAAATTCCCTAAAGGTCTGAGATATCACATTCATGAGAATAAAACAAACACAGGGTCACAGTGACCTTGGTCTTTGACAACCAAATTCTATTCAGTTCATCTTTTAGTTAAAACTGTCCGTTTGTGCCAAATTTGAAAAAATACCCTTAAGGTGTTTTGAGATATCACATTCACAAGAATGAGAGAGAAGAGGTCACAGTGACCTAGACCTTTGATCTATTACCAACAAAATCTAATCAGTTCATTGTTGAGTCTAAGGGGATATTTGTGCCAAATTTAAAGGCGTCCTTAACATATCGCGCTCACGAGAATGGGACAGACAACCTTTAAACATAATGCCTCCAGCCACTGACAGTCATGGCTGGAGGAGGCATAAAAGTAAGTCAATTGGTCCAGCCAGGAAATAAAAACAAACTCTAATGTTAATTAGTGAGCCCTTGTGGTGGTGGTCAGCTGATTTTTTACTTTGGATAGAGCCAGGCTAGCTGTTTCCCTCTGTTTTTAGTCTTTATGCTAAGCTAGGCTAAGCATCTCCTGGCTCTGTCTTCATATTTATTGTACAGACATGAGAACAGTATATTGATCTTCTTATCTAACTCTCAGCAAGAGAGCTATTTAAATGCATTTTAAATATTGCTAAGTATGCTATTTTAAAACAACATGGGCGCTAGCTGTGAAAATGATAACTGCATCGGTCTAAATCTAGCAATAACAGCTGCGCTGCGCGCAACTTTGCGCCAGGTGTAAGATAGGGCCCTTATAGTCAGTAGGCCTGCAGCAGCTGAACACATAATAATGTATTTGTGTACACACAAGCATACAATTCAACATATACACACATTAAAAGTTTTAAACTATAATCAAATAATGCAAAAATAGTTACTCGGTTACCTATAATTACACTACATACTTTTTCTGGATAACTTGCTTTGAAATTGTTCAAAAATTAAAAGGACATTACAGATTACATTACAGACATTAAGTTTTCATGCTCTTTTTGAATTTAACAACAGGAACCATAAAGCATTGCATAAAGTATCTTCATGACCCTTCAATATTAAAGTAGGTTATGGTTCCCAAGGCCTTCAAAGATGAGAAGGCTTTCATAAGTATGTTTTCAGTTCTAATTTTAAATCACTGCACTTAGCCATTTCATTCTTTTCTGTCAATGAAACCTCAAATAACCTCTGAAAAGGGAGAAAGGCTCTGTGTGCAGAAAGTACCACAGAGCAAATGTGTTAGTAACTACAACATGAACATGCAGCACAGCCAATGTGTAGGCTGACCGCAAATAACCTTTTTATATACATGTATACTCACACCAGTCTTGGCTGTAAAGCAATCTCTGCAGGGTTATATGTGTCCAGCAGTCTGCTTATCTAAGAGATACAGCAAACTGACACCAGACAGATTCTTTTATGCCTGCGGAAGCTAAAATACATCCTCAAAAATGGCATTTTAGGCCCAATCCCATTTCTTACTTTTACCCCTACCTCTAACTACAGAGATACAAGGATAGTGGTTGAAATCTTCCCATATGAAACTGGAGAACAAGACAATGAGACCCTGATACGACACCAATAGTTGTCAATGCAGTTTACTTATATGGACATGTCTATGACAATAATGGTATTATCACTATGACAAGTACCATTCATCTGATGGAGACTGTAAAGCATGGATGCTTGCGATTCCCTCACGACTTACGTTTCACACAATCAACTGATCAAGGCCGCTAGCATTGCTCCGTAAGCTAAAGTTAGCCATCCCTGCTCCTGCCCTGCCAGTTGGCACCGTAGCCTGTATATAAAGATGGATGACACATCTCCTTACCCCCACTGTACAGAAGTGAAGCTAAAATACGCCGGACGCTGGCGCTACCATCTTGCTCTGGTGATGTAATTCGGATCAAAAGTTTGGTTTCTATGGTCTCTATGGTATCAAGTTTCCCGCCCATACAGCCATCCAACCAATCGTGAGCAGTGCCACTGAATGTGAGCCCACTGACTGGCTCATACAGTTGTCAATCATGTTGTAAAATCCCCAATTTACAGCATTTAATAGCTAATTAAAAACCAAACTTGTCAGGAAAAAAACATGGATATACGTCAACATGCATACGGAGCCAGAGTGTGCGACACTTGTGTGTGCATTACTTTTATATTTTAAACATGCGGGGCTCTCATGCACAAATCAGCAATAACAATGTAATGTTAGCTAGCTAGGTAGTTAGGTACTGAGACATTGGCATACTACTAGCAGTTTCTTTTGTTATGCTTTCTTTAAAAAAAAGAGGACCATAGCTACTACAATGAAACGACATTAAACTAAAATAATACAATGGCTATTGCAATTTTTAAATTTTTTAAACAAAGAAAATACATACATTTGTGTGTTTAATTTGTTGCTTGTGCAGCCATCTTGCCAATGATTTCTCATAACACTCAAGCTGGAGGGAGCCTCAGAAAAAAACCTTCATCTGGAGAGCCATGTAACACTTCGGCCTCCCCCTCTACCTAAAAAAGAATCTGGACACCCTACCCCCAGCAAGAACATGCAAAATGAAGGGGTACAGGCAAAGTGGTAGGGGCTGTATTGGGATTGGGCCTTAGGGAAGAGAAAAAGACTTTCTGTCTTTCTTTGAATGTAACATCTCTCTAACAGAGAAAACAAGACAGATCTCAGTCAGTTTGTTTCAATGAATCTAAACCAGCTGTCTAATGCCATGTAAAACATAGACTGGATCTGTATCTGTAGATCATATCTCTGTGATTTTACTCCAACAAAGAGCTGCCAACAAGGCAGGGCTCTGACATCTACAGCATGAATCCCCTAAAGCGAGAGGAAACAACTACATTTGCCAGCATCAGAGATACACTTGCATTTATTTGGACAACAAGCTTGTCATGCCTTAAGTTTGACACTAGTCGAGCTTTTCTCAAGTTCCTCGTCCTGGACTGACCAAGCTGAGTGAGAGGGACCTGAACCCAACAGCGTTCAGCTACAGCTCACTGCTGCTCTGTCAGTGTCTCTCCTCAATCACAGCTTGTCTGTCATTGCCAAAAAGCAATGCGGGGTTAGTGAAAGTAGGTCGTGGGTGAGCCGAGATATTAGATGCGTACTTGTATATGTGTATATGTGAATCTGTGAGCATGTAATAAAGTATTAACCAATGCCAAATGTGTGAATTTGTTTTTGTGTCTATGTCATGTGCATTTGTGTGTTTCTTTTTAC